CCCGGCGCCTCCTGCCCGCTCCCGCGGCGGAGGACGGGGCGGCTGAACATCAAAGCTGGCGATAGCGTAAACAGAATGTGGAACTCCAGTCCCTTGTTTGGGTGGAAACTGCGCGGCGGCTGCGTGCGGGACTCTGGTCCTGGTAAAAGTTGTAATTAGGATCGAGTCAAAGGTGCTTTGATGCTAGGCGAAGGCAGGACACACGCATGTTACAGGGGATTACAGGAAATCTTAACATCTCTGGCTTTGTTGAAATTAACTTTCTCCTACAGATTTTATGACAAGAAATACAAAGTATTTTTGAAGCTTGTGGAACATCAGCGAGAGTATCGCTCCATCATGAACAGCTGCTAATCCAGAGTCACGTAACCTGGGAACAGCAGGGATAACAAATATTCCAGATATTTACCATGAGGGTAATTTCTTCTTCCTGTACTGTTAATGGAAAAAATACGCTTTTATAATTTTAAATGTACATTTTAACTTTTAACGAGAAATAAACCACATTCACTTCACTGTGAAACACTGGGTATTTTCTGTCAATAATCCCTGCACCCCAGGGACAGGGAATAATCATTTGCTCCAGTCAGAGAAGACAAGAGAACCAGCCACGCGTTCCCCAGTGCCGGTATTCTGACAGGCCACAAGCAGGAACAGCACAAGGAACAAGGTAACTCACTCGGGTGGACCTGAAGCACTGCCCTTTGTGGTGTTTTTCACAGGTAACTACACCTGACATCCCACATGGTCCTTTTAATTTTACTGTCTGTTACAGCTAAGACCCAAACATGATTTCCATTGGAAAGTTTTGTTTGGTTTTTGTTTGGTTTTTTTTGTTGTTGTTGTTTTTACTCTGATTACAGTACTTCGGTGACTGATACTTGAGAATCACTTTTGCAGCTGTGCAGTCTTTTTCTCTCTGTTTTCTTCTGTTTCCTGCTGTCTTTTTTCGGTCTCTGTTTTTGCAGTGCAGTTGTTTTGCTATCAATAATTTGTGCCATTTTGTCTTTTGGAAATAACTCGCCCTCAGTGTGCATTAATTGCTGTGCAGATGTGAAACGGCCCACTGTTGACATTGAAAGACTAGGCTGAGCAGATGCAGTTGCTGAAAATATGTTCATAATGCAGGTGCATTCCTCCTGTCCTGCCAGCTGCCTTGCAGGGAGTCAGCCCTGAAACGGCCCCACACTCCCTGTCCGTTCTCATCACATTGCTTAAGCCAGACCCAACTCAGAGCTTGGGTGTCTACGCAGCCGGCCAGCTCAGAGCTGAACTCAGCCACAGCAGGTACAGGGAATGCAGGGGAGAGAGAAAGGGTTTTCCTTCCTTAGACTTGCATTTGTCAAGGCTCAGAAACCTTCCTGGCTGCCTTCTGGCCAAGTCTGGTCAACAAAAGGCTTTTACATGTTCCCGAGTGATTTTGAAAGCTGCCCTGGTTAGTCCTACAAGGTACTGCCAGGCTCGCAATGACAGGTCGTGACATAACGAAGGGGAGAGTATGGACACTGGTTGTGTACAGCCAAAATATGTCACCTCTGCCGGTACAAATTGTTTGGATCTTGCAAGATCCAAACACTGCCAGTGCCTTCAGTGAAATGCTCTCAGAAATTCTAACTTTCTATGCCATTTGTCTGTTACTTCTTCATAAAAGATACTGTTCTGTTTCAAAAGCAAAACCAGGGTCCCCAGCTGAAGGAGAGGATTAAGAAGTGGGTGACAGAAGAGGATATTCAGGTCAACTACAACCCTTCCGAGTCAGTCATGAGAACCCTTCTTTTCCTCAAGCTGCCACCCTCTTGCTGAGCCTGTCTTATGCAAGAGAAACAACCTCCAGTTGCTTTCCACAGGGTCGGTATTCACAGAGATGGACTCCAGCTTTATACACTTCGCTTGAGAGAAATTCCATTCTTTAGTATTGGCATAAGCTGTAATTCCCAGTTAAATGCAAACAGAAGTTACACAATAACAAAATTACACTTAGAGAACTTGGAAAAAAAATAGTTTCTGGGGTTTTTTATGTTGGTAGTCAGCACTCAAAAACATCTGGTAATTTTTTTAAAGAAACAATGCGCTTCCTGCCTTGTAGTTCATGGAAAAGCAATTGTTGTCATTTCCAAAGTACCCATTGTTAAGAGAAACGGCTTTACAAGTTCAGGGACATAATTAAAGACAATGAAAGTTGATTGGAATAAAATGAAGAAACATCATAACAAAGAGTATAACAAGCAAGAAAACGACTGCAACATAATGGTATATCATAGCTTACAATTCAAGGCCACAGTAAAATATGTCAGCTGAAAATATGTGGAAAGAAAAAACAGTTGGAGACCAGGGTATTGTAAACAATAAATATTCATACACTTTAATATATTTTAATATACAATTCATATGTAAAAATGAAGTCCGCTGACTCCAAATACATAGCAAATGTACAGATTACACAGGACAGATGTGTAGGGTTGTCTGGCACTGTACCAGCATTTTTTAACTCTTTGCAGTTCAACACAGACATGCACCCACCCACCCCCAACTTGAGCAAACTTCCCATAAACTTCCTGCTATTTATATCATCATCATAAGATTGGCCTTGATCTCTCGGGCTGAACTGGTACCAAGACTTAGAAGGAAATCACAAGGAGCGTGTGGAGTCTAGAAAGGAAACAAACCATGGTGCTGGCTTTGTTAAGGCTTAGATGGGCAGAGGTCAAGGAAGCTGTGTACCTTGCACAGGCTTACATGGAAGTTACACAGAGATTTGTTCACATTTCTTGCATGATATGTTAATGCTTTTCTTGTCATACTTCTATTTTATAGTTTCATTTTTTGGTCCAAGCCACTTAGCCATTTTAAAATCAGGACTGTACTCATTGCAAAGCTGTAAAAATATCTGTATTCTAGTGGACGTGTAATCAGCTGTGTAACAGAAAGCACTGATAGACGATTTTGTAGTGATACTCTTCTCACATTCCTTGTGTTGTACAAGACTTAGCAAATTGTCCAGTTTGCTACATTCTCAAATGAAGATTTTAATCAAATGGAGCCAAGAGGTAAAATGTTAAAGCTCAAGAGTTCTAAAACTCTTCAACTGCAAGTTGACTGGCATTGTAATTTTAAGTTCTGTTTGTAGCTTTAGGCATTTTCAATTCAGACACTTTGTATGAAGAGAAGTTTCAAAAAAAAAGCAGCGTGAAAGAGCCTAGCGAGTACACAGTGTAAAAGTAGCTGTCTGAGCACCTGCGCATCGAATCGCTTGGCCATGCAGGTATTGCCAGGTCCTGCTTCAGCCTTTGTCAGCAGCAGAATGACAAATCCATCATAGGCTGCCTCAAATCAAAGCGAAGCTTGTCCTTGCTTGATGAGGTTTGACCAAGGAATCCAAGTTTAAGTCAGTCAGGGCTCTGACAGTGTGCTCTGAGCTGCAGACCTTGCCATATTTACCCTGTTAGATGCAATTTGCTGACAGATGTTTATCATGCAAATTAAAAGAAGGGAAACAACCACCATGTCATCAGCTGTTCCAAGTGTCCTACAGAGAGGCCCAGGCTTCGTGTCAAGTGGAGAAGAGAAGCATATGATTGTTCCGAAGGAGCAAACAGCAACTCTTAGGAAAAAAATCCATATGAGACCCCCCCAGGTGAAGATTCCTCGCAAGGCAAGAGTCAGGAGTAACGGCATTTCATAAAGGTAATCTGCAAACTAAAGATTCGGATGAGTTACATTATTGTGCCTTCTGATGCATGCAGTTCTTTCAGCTCAGTGTGTCTCTTAAGCACTTTTAGACTCGGATCTTTTGAATGCAGAAATGTTCTGTGCTGTACAAATCCACCTACACTGTTCAATTATTTTGTGGTATCTAGAGGCACACTTCTAAAAGGAATCCCTGCTGCCCCAGCACTTTGAAAAGAAAGTATTATTCTTGACATTGAATGCTTTTGGAAACTGGGCCTTAATGACTGCACTGAGTATATGCCTTGTCTTTAAACTCTGGCATCAAATGTGGCTATGAATGCGTGAAAATGTGGCCTCAAGTCTCACCTTGGTGTGGACAGGAACCATGGGACTGTAGGATTATTCCTCTTCCTCTTCAAACTAGCTGGCTGGCTAGTTTGTTGGGTTGAAAAAAACATCCTCCTCCACAGTGCTTAGTTTAGTCCGTAGGTTGAAACAGACTCCACAGTCCCTTCAGGCTGCCACCAGGATGTGACAGGAGAGGAAGGTTTGCTCTGGTGATATTCTACACCCTGTCAAGAATGGGCCTCACTTGTGCCTTCAGCCCTCATATTTCCCAGCATTTCCACTGCCTGTCACGTCTCTGTACCAGCTGGGATTCCAGCTTTAAGGAAGTGCAGAGCTGGTGTGGACTGTTTGAATTTGGCAATACCTGTGGGGAAGAAAACCAGCTGCTTTCTAAGCTGGAATCTGATTTGAAATTTTAGAGGTAACTTAAAATCCTGGAGTTCAAATCTGAGTTCATACTTGAAAGTTCCAGCCTGACCATCTCTAGTTCTGCTTTGCTTCCTGTATTTCATCCCAAACAGCTTTCTCCTCCCTGCCAGGATGGCTGCAGGAGGACTCGGAGCTCCAAGAAGCACCTTTACCAAAAGGTGCCCGACCCAGCAGTGGAGGGTAACACTTCCATGAGGGTATCGCCCATAAGCACACGGAAAGGTAATTCACATAATGATACAAATGAGTTTTCAGTGCTGGGTCCCTCTGTCCTCGATGTGTTATGCACTACTAGCTGGGGAAATGTAGATTTATAAATACTTACGGGTCGAGGTTGCCCCGAGAAACGCTTGTTGTAGTCTCTAATGTCATGTACAATTTGTTTACTTGGCTCATCTTGTCGCTTGTCACATGAGACATTATCCAGAAGAACCACCTTCATAAGAAAAGAAGATCAGCATCAGCACGGTGTATTTTACTCTCTGGTCTAAAGGACAGTGTTCTGTAGTAGGGGTCTCTCCACAGTCTATCTCTCACAACTGGACCTTTGTCCAGCGCCAGCAGTTCGACAATAGCAAGATCATTTCCTTTTTATAACCTGCATCCATCCTTCCAGTACAACAGGAAGCTCTGGCCAGGGTCAGATGAGATTAGGAACTTCCATATTGCTTTTTATGGATATCCCAGAGATTCAGTGAACTACAGAGAAGTAAAATGCTGGAGGCCTGTTTAATATTGCACAGAGTTGCCTGATATGACGTGTCAAATGATAAATGCGAATGGCTGCAGGGTCATTCAAGTCTAAGGGGGTTTAGAAATGCTACGAAAAATTAGAGGATAAATAAAGTTGATCCTAAGAGCTCAAGCTTGTAATTTTGTGTGTCTCATAATGCAGATGGAGGTGAGTCTTGCCTTTTGTCTGCAGAGAGGGCAGGTTATTGCTGTTAACCAAGGACTGTGCTTCCAGTATGTGATCAGACAGGAACCTACCGAAAAAAAAAAAAAAAAAGATACATGAAATATATTTGAGAATATTTAATGTTTACAAGGAAGTTAGCAGGATTAATGAACCTTCTTCCTACAACTGACTGTGAAAATGAATGTAATTCTTTGCTTTCATTTTAATATGTGGTTTTACTCTGCGAAGTGACTGTTCAAAAATGGAGCCTTCACTCTTCTACACCGGTATGCACAGAGGAACAGGGACCCTCTAAGGGAGACTTCGATTCAGTTTTTTCTCCTGTGCCTAGCGTCTTAATTCCTGCAGCTCCCCTGACTGTGGTTGAAGCACTCGGGAATACAGGCACCCTCCGGAGCTAGCGGGGCTTTTACGGATGATGAGGCCCCTTTATCCCAAATAAACCAAGGTGTGCAGCCAAGGGAGGGCCTGGGGATGCTCCTGGTGGCACACCACGGAGCTGGGTGATGAACTGTCGTACACAGGGCTGCTTTGTCTGTTTGCTCCCCTCCCTTACAGTATTTCAACTCGGTTACCCTTCTGGAACTGTGTGGAAGAGCAAGTTGTTGTATTCTTTTTGATCCTTCTTACCCAGACAACTGCTAACTAATTTCCAAGTACACCACCATCTCTTCTTATACTGAGGTCTCAGGTGTGAAGGAGGGCAGAGTCTGAGGACAGTAAGATCAGACAACACGTATAACTGACAGCAGTGGCTGACATACATCAATGGCAGTGCTGGCACTGACAGCAAAAACAGCAAAGCGTAAACAGCATCTAATCAGAAGCAGCACAGCTTGACTTTCAGCTCCCAGGCGCGGTGTGCGGTGTGACAGGTCAGGAAAAAAATAATCTCTCAACATTTAAACTGATCAAATTTGACAAGGACCCCAGTGAAAACAGAAGCAGAAAGCTGCGTTGCCATTTTGATGGAACTGTTTTATTGAATTGAACAATGCTCTTTGTTCTTAAAAATAACCAGCAAGTAGTTTTCTTGTAAGCAGTATTATAACAAAAAGTCTTCAGGAGCCCTCAGTGCAGGGTTTTTCTGCACCCAGACTTTGTCTGTTGTTACTGAAAAGGGAAATATTGGAGAAAGTATGTTGGAAATCAAGTATAAAAATGTTCATGATGCTATCAGTTATATACTAGGACTAGGGATGTTAAATTTGGCCTACAGATATTTTCTATGAACCTTGATCCAACTTGTGCTTCTTACTTTCATTTTCATTTGAGTGCAGGGTTTTTCTTTATGTCTCTCCTATTTTATTTGCATACACAGAGCCGTTGTCTGGGCACAGGGCTCTGTTTAGGGCTAAATCCCATGCACTATGTATAAACTCAGCCTGGCAGCCTGAACTTTGGCATTTGACCAACATCACACCTGATTTCAGGAACCACTTTGACCCGCTGGGTGATCCACACGGCTGTATTGCTGTGCCCGTGCTCAGTCTTGGTGGCGATGGCGGGGCACTGATGGATCTCACAGTTCTTCAGTGGCTTTCAAAACAGAACCCTGTGGAAATTAAGATTTGCTGCATGCAAAATCCTTTGTTCAGTAGAATAGGAAACTACGGACTCGTCTGCAGTTGATCTGTTTGTTGCTTCGGTGCATTTTTCATAAAATAGGCAAAATCCTGTTTTAATCTAGCCAGCTACACAACCTTCTGAGGGATCTGTAGGTTTCTCTAAAATACCTCTGCGGTTATTGTTAATTAGAAAAAAATAATATTGCTCAAGGATCGCTTTTCAGTTGAACTTCCTGAACATATGGTTTAAACTGAAGCTGAAAAGGAAAACTTCAGGACAAACTGTATGAATTACTACTAATAATAAAATCAGACATTTTTTATAAGTCCACATTAATCTTCTTTAAAAGCGCTGGGTTGACCACATTTTTTAAATAAAACTTCTACCAGAGCGGAATTTATTAAGAGAGCTCAGTGTTGCCTTAGCTCTGTTCCACAGGGCATCAAGAGAAGTTTTATTACTGATTTCAGTCACAACAGACTTAGATCTACACAGAATGGTTTTGATAAGCCCAATGTAAAGTTTTATTGGTTTAAGACGTGGAAAACAGACGTTACAGAGGCAGCTTCTACTATATAAACATAGTCATAACATACATAATGCACTGCACTGGAATCAATGCTTCGGAGTGTAAATGATGTACTTGAGGAAAGTAAAGCCTAACTAAATATATACAGCTAACGATAACAATATATACCAAGCTTGTATATGGTATGTGTCCTCTGCAGATCTCAAAATAAAATAAAAATCAAGTCATATTCACAGATGGAAAAGGGAAAATTAACCAGGCCAGAGAAAGAGGAAAGTTGGTGATCTTTGTTGTTATGTCTATCTTTGTACTTGAAACTATAACTACTGTGACATTATTTGAAACATGTTTTGAGGCCATATGCTTACTGTTTGTCCTGGAGTGAGTTATATTCAAAGCATCCTTTTCCTGTATGTTATAAAACAGTGTTACAAAAAACATGAAACAACCTAAATTACTAAATGGTGTCACTCACAGGGTAGATGAGCCTCACAAAGCGTCCCTAGCTGATTTGTTGTGGTTTCGGAGGATGGAGATAGTGGCAGTGGTGGTGAGTTGTGCTGCGTGATCATTGTTTCAATCTAGAGAAAAATGACGCTTCCTAAAGATAAAAATGTGCTTGCATTGCACCGGTGTTAACAGCACAGTCCCTCGTTCTCATTTATGCTTGGGTCTTTTCATAACACTCTTAGGTGGTGAAAAAATGTGCAAATGGCTTGTAAATAGCACCCAGGTTGCTTTAAGGTGTCTGTGAAATGCCGGAGCAGTAGGAAGGAGCTTTCTGGTTCTGCCCAGCGTCTTCTGGAGTGTCTGGCTGTTTGCAGCACCAGGTAGCACTGCCTGCAGCCGCCTGCCTGCCCCTCTGCCAGACATCACCCGCCTCATGCTGCATAGTGGCCCACAAGGACCGTCAGGGGCAGTTTCAGGCTCATCAGATCACGAACTCCAGGTCTCTGCTGCCCACGCTGCTGTGGGGGTGACAGAGTTCAGCGAGGAACCTGATAAGCAGCTGGGGCAGGGAAGTTGTAAACTTCACCTGCAAATTCAGTGGATGATGCACCTCAGAGGGCCGAGAGAAACAGCGTTCAGTCCCGTTACGCTGGTGGCCTCATCCCAGTGCCTGTGAGAGCGGGTACAGAGCTCACGCTGGCTCTAGCAGTGCACAGTGTGGGCCTTTAAAATGCCTGAAATCCCCTTTATAAATGCAGTTATGAACAGAACTCCTTCCACTAGTCTGTGCTTCATCCTTGTATTCCCTTTGAAAACTTATTTAAATTTTGTAATCCTAACCATATGGTTTAGCAGCCTCAAAGAAGGCATTTAGCAGACACGTTTATCCAGAGAATTATGGTTTTACTTAGATTATCCAGTGACTGTAGATGCACTGGGGGAGGACAGACCACACCACGGGCAGCCTCAACAGAAGGACCCTCTAAATCTGGGTCTGTCCCCTTCCTGTTAAGACAGCCCCTGGGCTGGAATAAACAGTTACTGAGCGTGCATCATGCTGAGATGTCTTGGAATACTTTTCCCCTGTATGAGCACACGGATTTACTTAAAAAACAATAAACACATTAAAAGAAGGTTTATACATGACTAAAAACTCACTTTTTGAATTGTTTAGTGTGTTAACTTCCACTAATTTTATTTTCTTTGTTTAGAGAGCTTTTACAGGACTACAAACCAATGTAATTATGCCTTCTTGCTATAGATCACTTCTGCTTTATTTTAGGCAAATGTTTCGCATGGGAGGCAAGTCTGTGGAACAGAATCAGACCTAAGCCCAGTGTGTCTTACTCCCAGTTTTCACCAATATAAATACAATCAGAATTAATTTTAAGGGATAGCTGGATTTTTATGCTGTTGATTAAAAAGACAAGCTGTCTTCCCAGAAGTGAGTTCATGCTTGAAGACAAGACTTCATGCTTGTTCCATCTTGAGCTTTCACAGTTACAAACTGTATGATTATTAGACTGTTGATTTTTATAACAGGTTTGGTTTTTTGCATAGTTGAGCACAAATGGCATGATTTTCTGGTGCATTTTATCTATTCCATGTGTTTGTGTTGTAATTTAACACTGTCCTGTGAGATGATCTGTTACTTCTCGTCATCTTAAGACTTCTTGGACATTTCACAAGTGGCACTTTGTAGATGTGAAAGCAATGAGCAAATAAAAATACCGTTACTGATTTTTTGGGGGGATATAAAGATGGGACTTCTCTTGCTGCTAGTGAGAGCACTTACATTAATTCCAGGGAGAAGGGCTTGGTCCTGGTTCTTACACAGGACCTGGGGTTTCTGTAAAGAGCCTGCTTTATTAGTGATCTGTATAAGCACTGCACTTACCACAGAATAAATGTCCACAGTTGGTTTCTACTGGGAGGGTAACTGTCTGGAGACAGATGGGGCAGCTGAAGTCACTGTGATTACTAGGTTGCCAAATTTGGAGTGATTCCTGGAAGAGAAGTAGTAGAGAGTCTTCAATAAATTACTGTTTTGACTGACATATTCACTTCATTAATAATAATTTACTATGATTAGCAGAGAGTCACAGAAACTAAGTATAGATGTCACACATAACTAATGGTTACCTCAGCAGGTAATGAAAATCAGGCACAAAGAAATGAAGTGCTTTGTGTAATCCTACAGAGGGACCAGTGTCAGAGGTAAGATCATGTACTGAAATAAAGATGTGTGTGTTCTCTGCCTTCCTTGGGTGGCAGAGTGCTATCCTTAGTGTGTACCATAGTCTATGTAACAAAAAGACTTCCTCTTTTTAATTAAATAAACTGCTTCCAAATAATCCTGCCCTTTGCTTAGGAAAGTCTATAATTAAGAACTATATTGAGCTTTGTTTTTAGAGCGGGAAGATAAGAATTCTAAGCCTCTGAAATGCTAAAGAGGCATTTTGAAATCCAAAGTGTATTATCATACTTCCGGAGGGGAAAGGCTGAAGGATGTACATTGGTCTTCCAATCTTTGCTCCTAAATCATTGCCTCTAAGTAGTAAAAGTCTATTTGTCAATATATTTGTCTCTGTCAGGATTTCTGGATACAGTGAGAGATAAAATAACTGTTCTTACTTGGTTCCTTACCACACTGAAAGTTTTTGCTGCCTTTATTATGGTGCATTACCCATTCTGTAATGGATGATGGACCTGCCTACTTCATCTTAGCACACCGTGGAGAAACTTAACATTTGACCATGTTCGATTGCCATAACCACAATGAGATCAGCCTTTGAAGCAAATGTAATAATAATGTGGCTAGTGTCCTTTCTTTCTTGAGATAAAGTTATTTCAGCGTTTCCATCAGTCCTGGAAACAGAGGGGCACTTCTGAAATTGGGAGAAAGCTTCTGAGGAAGTTCCTTCACTGTAAGGCAGAGTCTTGAAGGTTAATGACTGTCCTCCACTGCCTACTCAGGTTTAGCAAGGTTCAATTACAGTTTTATTTTGTATTTTGATCGAAAAATGATGATGTTCACATGTTTGTTAATGACCACAGTGGTCCAGCATTATATGGATTGGGTATTATCTGTCTGTAACTGAAGTAAGCATCCCGTCAAGAGGATGGCATACTTTGGGATTCCAGTGTCGCTGTGTGCTTCCTGTCCCTTGTTGCCCAGTTTGGATTGCTTACTGGTTTTTCAGATACCTGATTGGCACCTGTCTACATGACAGATTAATGGATACAATTCCAACTATTTGACCTATTTATAGACGTTTTTATAAAGAGAAAATGCAATAGGTTCTATATTTTGCATGTCAAATACTGGAAGATCCAAGTGACTGTGAAGATTCAAGCTTGTTTGACAGCAGAGAAAGATTTCTTTTTAAGTCATTAATTTTTCTAATGTAGTAATCCCAAGAAAGAAGGGAGAACTTGTCATGTAGGTCTGCCAAATGAGTGATCAGGAAACCGGGTCTCTTGCCAGAGCCGTGTCTCAAATGACAAGTTCACCAAATTTCTAATTTTAAATCAGCACCTTTAATACCATCCCTTCCTTCCTGTAGTGAGGATCTGTAAATAAGAACTGGAGGTTTTAAAACAACGTGCCGTAGCTACTGGAAAAAGTCTTTCTCCTTTACTGTTCGTGAAGTTACGAATGAATTTGTTTCTGATTCTCCACAGAAAAATTTCAGATGCTGAAGGCATTTACATTGTGTTCAGATTTTCCTCTCTGTGCACTGATAAGATTATCTCCTGCTGAGATAATAACCACACAATAGCCCAGCAAAGCTGGCATGACTGGATATGAATAACCACAACACAACAACGATCGATTCAAGTCCAGTACACTGACAGGTGAACTCCAGGCAAGCAGTTTTAACACAATGCTACCTAAAATTCCTGTGGCACATCACATTCCTGTATTTTGACTTCCCAGGCAGTACTGATGGGGTTTTTGCAGCTTCAGAAGATGATTATTTCAGCTGACAGAAGCTGTTATAGTTTTCATCAGCTGAGGAACAGCCCTAAAGCAGTTGTGTTTATAAACACTGAATACATGACATAAGCTGCTTAGGTATCTACTCTTTATTTTTGCAAAGTAATAACACACACATTTCTTTAGCTTTGTCTCATACAACAAAGGGAACCAAATGTGTTTCTGATTATGCAATAGATACCGAGTCAGGGGAAACCCAGCATTCCCAGACCATAACTGATGGAAATTTTGAAAAGCTCTCCTGCCCTTTTCAACCTCAAGAAGTTGAAACTGCTTGTGTATTTTGTATTAGAATGTGTTGTACAATAATTAACTCACTATATGACTCCTAGGGGACAAATTATTATAGTTTTTTTCCAGATGACTCATCTTCTGCTGACTTACATGAGCGAGTCTGCAGAAACAGAGTTTGTGCTGTTCAGAAAATAGGAAAACGGAATGTTGAGGTGCTGCCGTGTGTGTGATAGCAGTTCTGGCTGCTAAGGCAGGCTACCACGTGAAGGGGCTGGAAACTCGTCAGCTGAGTGCAGGCTCCCATTGAGACCTTGAAAATGCTCAAGCTCAGAGCATTTGAGTTATAGTTAGGACTATGAATTAGAGCAAAGAACTAGGTAATGATCCTGTACTAACAACACTTGGTGAAGAGTGCATGTATACAGTGAAGAAAAATCACTCAAACCCAGTACTGTGAAACAGCATTTTTTATTTTCTTGTATCTCTCTCCTACTGGATAAAGCAAGGTGGGGAGCTCAACCAGCTCTTGCAGTATGACTAGAAAGTGGTAAGTTCAGATGAAAAAAATATACAGTATATATACAACTGTATATATAAACTGTTAAGCAACAGACATGCTAGGAATTTCTGAGTTCAGCAGGTACTGGGCACCAAGTACTATTAAATGCAAAGGTAGTACCTCTGACTGAGGAATTTCCTGAACCATAAATTGCTAGAGAATGGAAGAGTGTTCTGGGGAAGCATCATTAATGCTCCTACATTTCTACAGAAGAATTTCTGTAGGTATCGATTGCTGCCGAGAGAGCAAGATGGCCGTGCTTTGTCCTGGTATGGCCATTCTGACAGTAATAGAGCATTTGGGAGAAAGAGAGACTTGGAGTCACCTTCAGCAAAGATGTGGGTGGCTTAGCCTTGTCCTGAGTAGATAGGCTAGGAAAAACATGCCAAATCTTTCATTTATTTTTAATAGATCATGTGCACATAATTAAATTTCTGATCTATTCAGTCCAAGCACTCAAAATGGTGTTCGAGTTGGCTTTATCCTGGTTATAAGGGGACCGCCCAGCTGGATCTGATAGAAAGAGAAGACAGATATCTGACATAGCTATAAGTCTGCCAGAATTAATTTATCCCTTCCAAAATCTTGAGCCAGCCTTTGAACATTTGAACTAGCAGATTGAATTAGAGATTGAAGTAGCGATTATGGCAGTTAGTATTTTGTGTCATGAGGCTTTCAGTTTTTGATGGCATTAAACAGTCTTAACAAAATAAAATATTTAGTGTGACTTTGCCTAAAATGACAGATTTTTAGGGAGCTTCCTCTCATACAGTAATTCAAATGTAATTACAAACAGCATGATTAAAATTGTTATTCCTCTTAACATTTGAGTCTGGAATCTTTGAGACTGCCCATGAAAAGGACTATTTCTTAGCCTTGTACTTGGATCTTTGTAGCTATCTCACCTTTGAAAATCCCAGGCCTGGATAATGCCATACTGATACTGTAAAGCAGCTTTAATGAATAAAAAGGGGACTATGGAAGTTGTTTTCTAGCTAGCTTTTGTCTAGGATCATCTTTAAAAATGCTAAAACATTGGTGTTTCTAACCTGTATGTTCTTAGGAATCATGCTACAGCCAGAATGGAATGGGAAAATGTATAGTCCAGGAGAAGTCAATTTACTTCACTTGGAGGAAAAAATTTAAAAAAAACCCCAACAAACCAACAACCCAAACCCAAACCCCAAAGTTCAGAAGCAAGTTATTCTGAAAAACAGCCTTAGAATCCAAAGATCCAGAGGAAGCCTTAAACTCTGCCACCTCGAAGTGCCACATTACCTATGTTTTGGGTATCTCCCCCAGCAAGAATTCCCTAGTACAGAGTTAAAATCCTGAGCACTTTATACATCCCAGAGGGAGACTGAGACAGGGTTATATCTAAATCACCCAGGCCAAGTACTGGGGATGCCTACCACTAGCCAACAGTAGTATTAAACACAGGTTATGGCTCAACTCTCACCATCTGCAAGGAAAACCCCATCATAGTGTAAAGCTGGGGGACCCAGCACCCTCTCTAGAGCACAGGAGTGTTCTTGGAAAGAACTGGGCAGGGTTCAGCATTTTTAAGGAGTGGCACTGGTCACCTTTTAAATCATTCTCAGTGGTGAAAGCCTTCACCCCCACAGGGAATGCTGGTGTAGGCACTGACCAAAGAGATTCCACCCCATGACTGGTGAGCAAACCCTCACCACCACAGCAGTGGACACCACTGCCAGTTTTCACCAGGCCACACACCCGAATTAAATAACGGACATGAAGTGTCTCCCTGTGTAAAAAGTACTGAGGGAAAATTAACACACACCCCTTTCATGAACTAGCAAGAAGACAGAAGGGTGAGGTACTGTGACATACATGCTCACATGTGACAGAAAGGGCTTTTGAAGACAAACATTAATGTTATAGGGGTTGTGATGGATAACGATGCTTCGTGTCAAATTTAAAATGTGCTGGTTAGCAAAGACCATGGGAAGTTTATGTGTTTATTTTTAAATACAGTTTTAAATCTTTCTAAAATCAGCTCCTAATGTTTATATTGTTTTCTCAGTGAGCACCACAGGTGTTACTCGCTTTTGGGGTCAGATCTGCAAAAGAATTCTCCATGTAGGTACCTCATCAGGGACCAGCCTTTGAAACTGTTGAAGCCCAGAAGTTCCCTGTGGGACAGTCAGATTTTTGAGAAAAAGCAGATCTTTTCAAATCTGAACACATCTTTTGGCTTAATATGAAAGCTGAGCATTTCAGAA